CCCTCCCACCGCCCGCCCCATCCCCCCACCTCAGCCCCTCTCACCGGCCCTCACGCCCACCACTGGCTGTGGGCCACTGTGGACAGCTGGCTGCGGCCACCGATACCTAACCTGGACACTTAGCGACATCTCCATGCCCAGGTGTCCTGCCCGCTGGCCTCAGTAGGATACCTGCCGGTTCTTTCTGCAGCCTGTGAACAGTCCATGGGCCCTGGCACTCCCTTCTTCCCTTCTCAATTCTTTTCCTCCTTCCTGCTGTCTGGTCATCAGCTCCTTCCCAGCCATCCTGAAATAGGTTCAGGCTCTCCTGTCATTGAAAAATAATACTAATCCTCAAATCCCCGCCCCAGCTGGCTGCTCCCCGTGCCCCCCACTGTTTGCAGCCTGGCTCCTGCAGGCATCTGCTCTGCAGCCATGCCTCTGTGCTCACCAGCTCGCCTGGCTCTTGGCAACCCACATCCCACCAACAGCATCTCCCTGCCTCACCTGAGGCAGCTTCCTTGCCACAGAGATGGTCCTGGGTCTTGGGGGGCTGGCACTGGCAGCCGGGGCAGGAGCCTCAGAGGGACTTGTGAAAGCAACACCCTGCTGGAAGACAGGCCCATGCCCACAGGACACACTGGGGAGATGGGCAGGGCCTGGGGCTTCCCACGTCCCCAATCAGCCCCTCCCCTCCTACAGCCCAGGCCTCCTCGTAGCTGTCCATGCCCAGCAAGGCCCCTCCCTGCTGCAGCAGCCCCTTGGAGCTATACAGACCCTGTTTCAGTTTCTGGCTCTGCTGAGGGTGGCTCTGCGACCCAAGGCGAGTCACTGTCTTCTGTGAGCCTCAGGATGCCAAACCCGTTAGCAGAGTTGTGGGTCTACGTGGATGGTCTGCCTCCTGTCAGGCCTGTCAATGCCATGACCACTTCCCTCTGGAGGAACAGAACTGTGGGCCCCCAGGGATACCCTTTTTCTAGGTCTCCTCCTGGGAACCCCACACACAACCTACTGCCCCCAAGTCCTGCCATGCCTACCTCCTGGACCTCAGTTTCCCAGCCTGCCCAGAGTCCAGCGCTTGCCCTGAACCGTGGACCTGTCTCCTTGTGACCTGGCCATGGACACTGAAGGTGTGGTCATGATGGGGCTGTATGAGGACAGTTGCATTGCTGAGGCCAGTTTGGGCCCCTCCTCTAGCCTGGGGTGCTTTGGCAGGTTCACAAGCCACACCCCTCTTTGTAGGGGGTTGGAGCAAAGGCCCCGAAGCTTCTGTCTCTGTACTCAGTTTCTTCCATATAAATGCCTGCCTCAAGGATTGTTGGGAGGCCTCAGGGCAGGTGGGGTGGCGAGAGGCTGCCAGCCAGAGGAGCCCCTGGCTGTTCCATTTAACCATCCAAATGGCTGAGGGCTTGTGGGCACATATGGGCCTGGTCTGGGGCCTCCACTCCTGCTTGCTTTCCCCTATTTGAGATAGGACCAGAAGGAAACTGCCTGTTCAGAGCACTATGTGAAAACCTGATGTTCCAGATGTACCCTGGCCTCCCACCCTGCACTCCCTACTCCCAGCTTGGTGCGGAGGGAACATCCCCAGGCATTTCTCAGGCTAGGCCTGTGAGAGGGAGAAGACGTCATCCCTGGCCTATCTCCCAGCTGCTGGGGGTAGGATCGCCCTCAGTCCTGGGCCCTAAAATGGAGCCCAGCCTGCCTGGGCTCCAGCCAAGCTGCTGGGCTCAAAGCCCAACCCAGCTTCTTCATGAGCTGTGTAGCCTCAGGCAAGTAACTTAGCCTCTCTGAGCTCTCATTGGTAACCTGGGTGAAATGCACCATCAGGAGGTTGATTATGAGGAGCTTCTAGGCACGCCTGGTACATCGTAAGCTATAGTTATTTGTTCAGAGACTTAGCATCGGTGCATGGGCCTGCCGCCCTCTCCACCTTCCATATGTCACTCTCCAACCCTACATGCTGTGGTGTAGGCAGCCTGGTTTGGGGCCGACTTGCCCCTCCCCAGACCCCAGGTTTTGCTTCACTCTTTCAAGGGCCTCCCTGGCCTTGTCATCCTGTCCTGGCCACATTTCCCTCCAGGCAGCTTGGGCGGGCATAGGGCAGCCCCCACCTCAGCAGACCATACTTTTGAGACCCAGAGTAGACCAGCCACCGTGCTGGACAGCAGAGGATTTAACTTAACATCTCAGGATTGGCTGCGTCACCTCCTACCTGGCCCCAGGGAGAGTGAACGGCACGTCCTGAGGTGGTGGCCTGACTCCCACCCAGTTCAGTGCTGTTCTGCTGCCAGCAAGGGGAGGAAGCAATGCTTGCTGCCTTCACTCGCCTCAAGTGGGAGTGTCAGCTTCGTAAAGTACCGCGCAGGACCGGTAAGCTGCCTCCGGCGCTGTTCTGTGCTTGGTGGGTGAGAACGCGTTCTGAGCGCAGAAGCCCCACCAGCGCCAGCTGGTAGCCATGGCCATCCTCATGCCTGGCACCATAAGTTCTTGTCATTTGCTGGGCACACGAGATCCCTCACATAACATTCCTGGCCTCCCATAAGGAGGTACTGTCCCGCTGTTCAGGGAGTGGCTCCAGCGGTTGTGCAGTGCAGGTCTGCCTGTGACGCCAAGGCCCCCGTATTTATCCACAAGTAATCATTCCTGCCTCTTCCCCAAAGGGTCCCCCAACCAAGGCAGCAACGAGGAGGCTGCCCCAGAATCAACCCTGTGGGCATTAGTGCCCCATCCTGACCCTCTTTCCAACTGATTTTTGGGGACCATTTTGTGGTAAGGTGGCAGGGCCTACCTGTATGGCCCACCTGCCCAGCCCTTCAGTGGCACACTCACCCATCTCTACTCTTTCTTCACCAGACTTGTTCCAGCTGCCAAGAAGTCGGGGCCACCATCGGGTGCTGCCACAAAGGATGTGTCCACACCTACCATTACCCATGTGCCAGTGATGCAGGTAAAAGCCAGCCTGGGGGGACAGGAAGGCCCTCCAGGGGGACCCTGGGCCCAGCTCCTTGAACCCAGCCCCTTGGCTTCCCTCCTCTCTTCCCAGGAGTCTTTCTTTCTCTTTGTCTCTTCATCAGAACCTGTGCTAGACAGTGCTAGGGACATGGTGATGAGTTATGTTTGAAGAATGCTCAGAGGTATAAATGATAAGATGGAGAGCTCTTTGAAAAGCTACCATTGCCAAAGGGTATTGAGAATTTCATATCTCAGAGAGGAAGTGGCACTGAGGCTGGGGCTTTGAAGGCTGAATAGGAGTTCACTGGCCAGAGAAAAAAGGAAAGGATAACAAAGGATAACTTCAATAACAAAAACTGAATGAGATGAGAAATGAGGTTTAAAACAGATTGTTTACAAAATAGTTGTAAAGGTTCGCACCAAGACTTAGAGATATACCTTATTTCATTTAAGGAAAGATATTGTTTATGGTGAAATTTTAGTCATTGATGAGGGCAGTATTTTAAGGGGGCTTAGAAGCAGCTTTGGCCTGGATTCAAACCCTGGTGGTAAGTCATTGATGTCTCTGTACTCAGTTTTCCATCTATAAAGTGGAGATGATAGTAATCTCTTCCCTGAGCTGTGTGGAGCAGCAAGTGAGAGAAGGAGCCCTGCCCAGCAGGTGCAGCGTCAGTCCAGTTTTGGAGCCAGCCCCCATGGCCTCTGTCTTCACCCTCTGCTCCCCTTAGCCTCCCTTCTCTGGCCTGGAAGGGGGGTGAAGTTATCATGACCTTGCCTCATGGAGCACCCTCCCACCACCTGGGGACCACCCTCCTCCCCACCTGAATGCCTGCTGGCTCTGCTCTGGGCAGAGCTCCCTCCCCCCTTGCTGCTGGAGTGCACAGAGAGTGATGACAGTTCTTTGGCGAGGGCTGAGGTGTGAGCACCCTGCAGGGAGGGAGCTAGCTGGAGCAGGGACATGGGGTTCTTACTGGCTCCAGTCTTCCACTCAGCAGTGTGAGTCAGATTTTAACATGGACTCTGCCACTTACTGAGACATATGGCTTTATTCACAGTAATAGCTATCGTGAGGTGCATCCCTTCTACAGTGATTCATGTAGTGCCCACTCTGTGCCAGGCCCCACGTCAGGCCCCTGCACTCTCCAGTTGCATCTTTACAGACATGCTGCCTTACCCATGGCCACAAAGGACAGTCCAGACAGAACGGGGGCGTGACTCCCTGTGTGTCTTCTCCACATCTTGTGCTCTCTCTTCCACCCCAGTACTGTCCAGCCCCTGAGGGGCTCACACCTGAGTGGAGCAGAAAGGAAAACCATGGTCTTTGCCCAAAATTACAGAGACTAGACAAGAAGATTCATTCTTTCTGAGCCGGGAGGGAACCCAGGAGGACTTTCAAGAGGAGGCAACATTTAAGCCCTGCTTGGAAAGATCAGGGGAGGTGGGCAGCAGCTGGTTAATGATGGGATGTATATACTAGGCTTGCAGCAACAGAACTTTTGTTTCAAATTAAGTCTTCAAAGGAGTCCAGTAAAAGAGGGATCTCTGTAGAGCCCAAAGACTGGGCCAGGCAGCGGCCTGGGGGCTGGGAAGATGAGGCACTGACACGATCAGAGCTGCCTGGGAAAGAGCTGACGGACACTGCATCATTCAGGCAGAAGAGGAGGGTTACCAGGTCCAGGGAGAACCTGCGTCTCGTCTCAGAGACGTGTTGGCACAGACCCACGAGCCTTGGTGTGAGGGATGAGGGAGCAGCGGTGAGGGCGGGTCTAAGGCGGGGGCAATAGTGTATTATGTGCTGCTGCCGAGCTCCTGGCCGTCCCAGGCCCAACTTCATTGCTTGAACGCCAACACTTCATTATTCCTCAGGAGGGCATGAGTCAGCTGGCAGGCTCTCTGCTGAGCTCACTCAGGTGTCCACGGTCAGCTCAGGTGGCTGGGTCCTCTGAGGCAGGATGCTCAGGGCCCAGCTGGGCAGCTCCTCTCTGCTCCACGTGGTCTCTCGTCTTCCCGCAGGCCTCTGCTTGGGGCCACACAGCCCTTTCATGCATTCTGCTGGCCAGAGCAAGTCCCACGTGAAGCCCACATTCGTGGAGTAGGGAATGCACGCCTCTCCTGGGTGGGAGGAGCTGCAGAGGACGGGGGACAGGGAGGGGCTCATGGCTGTTTTGGCAACCCGTCACCGCACATGGCAGCTTCCCTTGGGCAGGTTGCATTTGAGGTGTCTGCAGCCACAGAGAGCTGTCAAAGCCGTGGAGGGAACAGCTGGAGGCTGGGCGGAGAGTTGGAGGAGGAGGTGGAGCCGTGTGTGCCTGAGGCCCGAGGAACAGCAGCCAGAGACAGTGGAGAACCAGTGAGCCTGGCAGCCAGCAGGAGGGTGAGGGGAGGCAGGGCTTCAGGCAGCAGGGAGGGCTGGCAATGGCAGCCCTGGTCTGGCAGGAGGGGCTGGGAATGAGGGAACTGGGAGTAAGCTGGGCAGGCCCAGCCTTTGTCAGCACCTTACACCCACCTGGCCTTGGGTCTGTCAAGTGGGGGCATGTGGGGCTCTCCAGGTGTCTGGGTCAGGCTCTCAGTCACAGGGCACCAGGGCTGCCTGCCTCTCCTGCCTCTCCTGTCCCTGCTGCCCAGGCTCACTGACCCTGCCTCCCATTCAGTCTCATTAAGGAGCACCACGTTGGAACTAAGCAGTGATTCTGAAGGGCTGCCAGGGAAAGGCGCACGCAGGCCCCAGGGCCACCTTGTCAGCCAGGTCCCAGGTTCCCCTGATGCAGACACCAAGAGAGGAGCCAGGAACTGATGACTCGGCTCTTCCCAGTGGCTCCCCTCCCCACGCTTGATGTGGATTCTGGCGGATAGCTGAGCAAGCTGGTTTTGGAAGGGGAAACCTCCTACCCTTTGCTTCGGGCAACATAAGCTTTGACTGTAGGGCCTTTAGCAGGGTGGTCTGGGGGTGGTGGTGAGGGTGTTGTCGTTTGTGTGCCATGGGTGAGCCTGGGGTTTTAGCCCAATGCTCTTTGGAAAGTGTGAATTTAATCCCAGAACCATGCCTGGCTTGCCTGAGCTCAGGGAAAGGGAAAAACTGATGACCCGCTTCCAATTGCTGGCCCTGCAGTGCAGAAACTCATGGGCAGCTTTTAGGACTAAGGCCCCAATTTCTGGCAGGGGCCGGTGGAAAAAAGAAGAGGCAGCCTCAGAGAGACCTGGAGCCTTCCAGCCCTGCCCTCCAGGCTGCAGACCTGCCCCGTCTCCCCACTCTGCCCCCTGGCCACCACACTGTCATGGTGCCACCGCACGGAGCCACCGCTGCTGGCCACAGTGTGGGCAGGAGAACTCTCTTTGGCCAGCTTGGGGCTCTGGCTGGCTGTGGGGTTTAGGGTTTGTTCTGAACAATGTCAGGTGGGGCATGGGAGGAAGGCGAGTGAGCCTGGGACTAGGCTCACCAGGGTGTGGTGGGTGGGGGTTTCAGGGGGAAAAGCCAGGGTCTCCCTAGGCAGGGAAGTGGTGACTCACTGAGACATCAGTACAACCCTGGCCTGAGGGGGGCATCAAGGACTGGCCATGCTCAGCCAACCTCTCTCAGATGCCTGCTGGCCTCTGCTTAGACCCGATGCTTCAGTCCACTGCTCCAGCCCTGCCCCCACATTCAGGCCTGCCTCCCCTCTGGTTCCCACAGGAACAAGTCCATACCCACCCCTGTGCTCACATACACCCTCCTTATCAGTCCCCACAATGGACACACAGTAGGTGGCAAGAGACCAAGGCTCAGAGAAGCAGCTAATGCTCAAATTCGGACCCGTGACTGCACCACCCAGCCCATAAACAGTGGTTCAGTGAGCATCCCCTTGGTGTCGAAGCCTCTTGCGGCCACTGGCCACACCCCTGGGAAGGAGGCAAAGCTGGTGCTGAGCCAGCCTTCCGGTGAGGCTTGCAGGAGGCCTCGCAAGTCATCTGTAGGTAGATCACTAGGGGGCAGTGACCAGTGTGGCCTGGCACAGTGCAGCAGGGGGAGGGGGAAGCTGGGGGTGGCGTCTGCTACAGCAAGGGAATCTGGGAAGGCCTCCCAAATAACCGGAGCTGCAGGTGAGGAGGCGAGGAGAGAGGAAAGGAAGGACTAGCCGGCAAGGCTGGAGTGCAGGTGGAGGCAGGGGCCCCAGCAGCCAAGTTTGGGTTGTGGAGTTTAAACAGTCCTACACCCGTTTTGCAAAGAGCCCCTGTAGTGTAGGGCCTCGGGGCAGTCAGCCCCCTCCCCTTCTGCCCCCCAACGACACCAGCGGCTGCCCTAACCACATAAACTTCTCTTGGTCACAGGTTGCACATTCACCGAAGATAACTTTTCTTTGAAATGCCCCAAGCATAAGGTAGGTGACCACAGGCCTTCCTGGAAGGGGTCTAGGCTAGAGACGGGCCCCTCCCTTCCCCCATGCCCTGCAGACCCCTGGAGGGAGTTCCTACTCCACTCCCCAAGGGGCACCAGCCCCCATCTGCCCCCTGCTCTCACAACCGCTCAGCCTTATTGGCAGTTAATCAGCGGGCGCCCGGGCAGGTCGGCACTTGCTGGTCAGAAAGACGGTTTTATAAGCCCGGCAGGTCCTGACAGAGGGGCCGTCCCAGGTAGTAGACAAAGGGAGGACAGGCAGGGGCAGGGACTGGGGCCACACAGCAGGGTGAGGGCTAGAAGCGACAGAAAGCCTGGCGTGGGGCCAGCTGCCTCGGCAGAGAGACCCCCACCCCCACCCAGCTCTTAGGGAGCCTATTCTGGGCGGGTGGGGCTGGGGCTTATTAACCCCTCGCACTGGTCCCAGGCCCTCTAACAGCGGTCGGGCGTGGACTCTTCCCCTGCAGAGGCTTCCATTGTAACACACCCCAAGGCTGGGAAAGCGCCGGAGCCGCCTGCCCTCCCGCCACTGAAGGAGAGGGGCCCTCTGTACAGCCGCCAGGCCTTTGAGATGCTTCCAGAGCCGATCCCCGATCTGACCTGGATCTTGGATCTGGCTGCCTAGGGCTGAACCGTGCAGTCCCTGGTTGGGAAGAAAAACTGTTCTGGAGCTGCCTGCTCCCAGAACTGGATGACACAGCGTTCCTGCCCACAACCCCGGGCCAGGCTTGGAAAGGGGGAGCCCGCGGAGCGGCCAGACTCCTTGGGGTACCCAGGCTCCAGCAGGGGTAGGAGACGCCTTTAGCCTGGAAACACGCTTCTCCACCGGAAGTTCCAAATCAATGTGGCACACGTTATACGTGGGTGCTGCCACCAATGCAGCTGGGCGCCCTGGAGGTGGGGGTCCAAAGAGCCCTGGAAGTGACGGGGTGGCTCCTAGAAAGAGGTGGGGG